ATATGCAGAGTAAACAAATGAACTATAAGTAATCCTTCCAACTACGGATGATAATGATGTAGAAGACATTGAAATATAACCATTCGCTGATTGATATAATTGACATGTCGAGTTAATAAAATTAAATACACGACAATATTGATTTTGATTACATAATCGTGCACAATGAGTCATTGTTGTTGAAACTGACGAACCTAATAAATCACTTTCATCTGGTGGTTGATATTCTGTACCCAAATTCATTAGTGTAAATAATGAATCATAGCATTTTACAGGAGACCAGAGAATTATGATCACTAGTAAGAAAAACATTTTTTGAACTTCATATGAATGTGCACAACTCTTTTATTTTTAATTTTATTTAAACACTTTCAAATAATCAAATGTGTAAACTTGTTTGTGCTTCTTCTTGGTCCTCATCATAAAAATAATTACATCTACCACCGTCACAGAAAATAATAATACACACTTATATCTGAATTAATACTTTTTCTATAAATAAAAATTAATACTTCTGTACTTATAAATAAAGTTTAAAAAGAAAAAGAAGTACTTTTACTTCTTTTTATGACTATCTACAGTGCACCTACTTCTTCTTCTATATAAATAAGAGACCTGTTAACTAATTTAAAAAGAAAACAGTAAAAAAGGAAAACGATTTTCGATCAAAACACCAGACCACCAACGTAGTTAACAAATTAATTTTTAATCAAGAGTAGGATATTTAATTTCTATTTGTGAACTGTTCTCTAGTTTTGGTCCATTTTCATACATCTGCTTGCTAGAAAAACTAGAAATTAGGCATGATATGGTGATCACCGTCACCTATCATCGGTCTAGCATTCTAACGAACATAAGAACCTAAAATATAAAAACGATGGTATGAGATACATATTTACGAGGGAATTTTGAGGTTATAAATCGCTTTCGGACCCAGACTACTTTTCGCTTGCAGATCTCAGTGAGTAGTGAAGTACCCTAAGTTGGTTTGTGCCCATGGTGCTTTGTTGCTGAGATACGGGATTTATAGTCCGTTTTTACCTACAGAGCTTGGATCTCGAGCAAAATTCGACTTTCGAATTTTGATTGCAAATTTGCCACACTTGTAGGCCATGGTCAAAGTAGTACGACGGAAAAATGTTCGGCGATAATGAATTTTCCTGCCTTGAGATATCAAGACTTGAATATTTAACCCTGACCCGTACCTTCAGATGAAATGCTCGAGTCTCAACCTCTCGTTGAGGAGATATAAATTTTTGAAGTTCAAAATTCTACGTGGATAAAACTCTGTCTTTTAACTTTCTGTTCATTGATCACTCAGAAACTTTTCCAATAAATTCATCCGGCAGAATGAAATGTAGTCAAGCTAAACGCTTTTGCTGTCAATGTTGATATTATGGTTGAAAGCGTCAATAAAAGAAACATTTTTGCTAGTGGCGTCTAATGGAACACAAAAAGGTCCTTCGTGGGCAATCGGAAATGAAGTGCTTTTTATCGATAATTAACTTTTCTAATTTTAATTATACAAACGAAGGAAATAAGTATGCACTTTTATTGCTTCTTTAAGCACAACAATTCGCTTATGTATTGTGATTACACTGTCTATGGGGAAATTTTGTCGAAGTTTCACGACGCTGGAGTCGTGCAGCTGCAACATCTAATGCGTGATAATGTGTGAACTTTTTATAATTTTACACTTGTTCACAAGTGAGAATTTCTTTTCGCACTTGTCCACACACTACTCTATGACTGTTACTAGTAACCATATGATGCGTGACCACACACCCTTTTACGATGTTCACGTACGATCACAGTTCATTTCACGATATTTACGGGTATACACGCTGTCTTATATTCTAAAATTTTCTAATGGGTGGTTTATTATCATCATTCCATAGTCATAACACTATATTTTTCGATTTCGAAGTTTCAGAATAAGATTCATGACGATGATGGCATTCTAAACTACTCAGAGACAGTCACCAATAATATCGAGTATATGTGTAAGAACATATTGTATGACTAAAAAAAGAAGTGTCTTCTGTATGTGTGCATTGAATAGAGGATCCAAATCGTTTTACACCTGAACATTATAAAATGTCAGATACAGAAGACACCTAGTGTTTTGGTCGTTCCAGCTTCGAAATCGGTAAAATATATCGTAATGGTTATGTACCAATTAACCTCGATCAAAACCAAACACAATTATGTCTGCAAAAACGTTATTAGCGTGAGTAAAAGGAAAACCCATTGTCAATCTGGACGAACGAGTCGGACCAGACCTACCGTCTATTCGGTAATGATAGTTCAAATCTTCTATCCAGTCATTTTCCCTCCCCTTTCTATTGTACTGTCGGCGGGAAGTCATGTTAACTAAAATTTAACCATCTTCGCGAACACCTACAAAGAAGTCAATGTTTTTATAATAATTTAGCTTCTCTCTCTTGTAGTACGGACGGTTACCATACAAATGTTGTCTACCACCTCTCAACAGATGAAGCCAAAAACGTCCACGAAATGTGCTGCAACTCCACAATGCGGGAAAAGCTACGATGAAAGTACTATTATCAAGGAAAAAAGAATTGCTGAACTTTTTATAATTATGGATAAAATAAATTGTTTTGTTGAAGAACCTACTGTTCTCTTTCTATTTTTATTCATCGAAATCTTAGACTTAGACATTTTATTTGACAACAAAAAGTAAAAACGAACCAATACAATAAACTAAAATCAAAAGAGGTTGTTGCAGGGAAAAAAACAGAAAAAGCGCATACTGCTCTTATTAGACTGTGACCCTTGTAATTTCGACAAAAACAAAACAAACAAAAAGAACGAGAGAATGATAAGGTATTAAAGCTCTAAGAAGTCCTTTAACCTATGCTTGAACAAACTGATGCTGTTAGCTATAACAGCGTACTCTGGTAGGTCATTCCACGAAAAAAGAAATACAAGGTAGTGTAGGTCTTAAAAATATCTGCCATCCTAACTGTTCTAGAATGATTTAGCCTGCCACAATGCCTATTGGTATTATATTGAATAAGATTGAGATCCGAAAGAATGGAATGATTGTTGAGAAATCTTATAAAAATGAAGTAATCTGAAGTACTTATGTCGTATCTGATAAATTTAATTTCTGCATTAATTCAGAAATAGAGCCATCAAATTTTTTAAATATAATTCGCGCAGCTAATTTAACAATAGAGTCAATGCGAGAATTATGATGAGAAAATTTGGTGTCGTAACAATCGAACAATAGTGTAATTTACTTAGAATGCATGCTTTGAAAACAGTTAACCTCGCCAAAACCGGTACATCTTTAAAACTTCGGTACATGGCACCCAACACCTGATGATAACAAGCCAAAATACGATCCTCAATATGAACTCCCCAATGTAAAGCAGAAGATAAACGGAGAACGAGTAGCACAGCAGAGTACTCTCGGTTAATAAACGAGCCGTTCCTTGATAGTGTAAAATTTGTGTCTGTTTGAGGCTTATAAGTAAAGAGTAACTAAGAACATTTATTATAATTTAGTTGCATTAATCATAGAAGAATCGTACCATGCACTTATGCGACAAAACATTTCTTGATATACAGAAGACGGGGAAATAGCTGAAAGAGGGCATAAAAGTAGACAATCATCAGCAAATAAAGCCGCTGATGCAGGTAGTAAACATGTAGCCGGGAGGCCATTGATAAAGGTAAGAAAAAGTAGTGGCCCAGCGATTGAGCCTTGGAGCACATCGGATGAAATTCAGAACCCGCTGGAAACGATTGGATAGATAATTAGAAAACCACTGAATGCTGAGTCTGTTACGCCCAACGAAGAAAATTTTTTGTCAAGAGAATCTGATGAGGAACGCGATCGAGAGCTTTCTCGAAGTCAAATTGTACAAGAATAGTATCAATTCCCTCATCTAAATTTGTGTAAATTGAGTGTGTGGTCTGTAAAAGTGCGTCAACAGTGGATGATTGAGAACGAAAACCAAATTGTGACTTAGAAAAAAAGTTATGTTTAGATAAGTAAGCGAGCAGTTGTTCATGTATGAAGCATTACCTTACTGAGTATACTTAGCAGAGATACTGGCCTATAATTATCTACAATAGCTCTGGGACCCTTCTTATGTATGGGAATAACATTAGCAAGTTCCACATAGATGGATAAATGCCGTTTTTGATCGAAAGCGAAAATATATGTTCAATTTGATCAATTAAAAATGGAGCACATTTTTGTAGGAAAGAAACCTGTATATTATCAGGTCCCGGTGCTATATCTTCCCTTAAATTTCTTATAGCATCTGAAATAACTTGTTTCCTTGGTAGATTAATAACAAATGGATCTTTTATAATTGCTGATGGCTGCGGACAAGGCCCTTGCTTAGGAATGAAACATTCAGAAAAATACATATTAAACATTTGCCCTTTAGAGCAGCCAGGTGATATATGTATTCATATAGGTTTTTGAGTGTACTGATTCCAGTGGCAGTGCTTTCAAAGTCCAAAAACAGATTTTACGAGGTTTCCCAGAGATCGAGTCTTTCAAAAACCTCTTAAAAATCGTTTTTGGATTTTGAAAGCAGTGCTGTTTGAATGAGCACACTCGAAAACCTACTTGAAATTCTTTTATAGGCTTTAGCCTGATGTTACAACTGATGTCCGAATATGCAGCAGAAAACTTCGTGAACAATGTCTTCAGCCGCAGGATTTTGTAAAATCTGTTGTTTTTGGGTCCAAAACCCCTCTTGTTGTACATCAGTCGATGCAGTTTTTTGCACTGATTCCAACTATGCTGTTTTTATCAAATTTTGAAACATTTTAGCCCGAGAAAAATAGAAAACACTTGAAAAACCAAGGATTTTTGGGAAACCCATAACTGGGCACAGGACTATTTGTGCTAACTGCGTTAACAGCTAGTATACAGAAGAACATTTGGTGAGAGTTTTATCCAAACTGTAGAACGCATGAAAAACAAAGTTATTCTCAATTCTTTATTTTACAATTCAGTTAGATAATGTTACAGCTAGAACAATGACAACGATTAATACAATAACGATAACAATAAGTATAATCCACATCGTAACATTTTTCCACCAGAACTTTTGTTTGACTTGTCGTGCAGTCTTTTGAAAGTCTCCAGCTGTACTTTGAAGATGACCGGTTTTGTTGTCTAAATTATCGAGCATAACCCCACGATTAAGAAAGTGACCTAAATTTTCTTCCATTTGAACAACAACATCATTAACACCAGTTTGTAATTGTTGTATTTTAGCTGATTGCGTCTGATTTTCAAAAGATACAGCGGTAGTCATTTCTATCTTTTTTTGAATATCTTTTACTATTATTTCAATAATAATAGGAAGAAAAAAGAGTCTATATGTGTGTGTTTCTGTTGATGAATAATTTCCTATATATGTAATATTGTATGTGAATATATCATGAATGATAGTCAATCACGGCAACAGAAAGACCTACTTAATAAATAGAACACAATGAAGAAAAACCGTTAAATCATAAAGTATTGGAGCACTTCATAGTATGTTGTTTAACAACATACTATGAAGTGCTCCAATACTTTTATCAAACAAGGAAGGAGATAATAAGAAATTATCTCAACAATTACGAACTATTTTGGAACTTTCTGCACAAAAGCAATGGCGAAGGGAACGACTCTTTGAACAGGACCACAGCGAGTAATCAGACCTAGACTTAGTGAAATTTGTTCGTCTGGTAATAAATTCAAAAGTGATTTCGCTAGACAATATGCGTATGGATGATCTAGATTAAAACATACGTTCTTTTTCTAATTCATTAATGCTCCTCACCTCCTCAAAAATCCTCATTCTAAAAGCGATCTAAAACAGCTAAATCTAGTAGACCCAGAAAACGTCCTATCCCACCGTTGGAACATAGAAAAACATTTTTCTCAGAATTTTTTTAAAGATACTTTATCCGATGCTGATTGCGAATATCAGGTCAAAACTGGAAAATAGTTAAGTTTTGATCGAAAAAAAATCGATTTTACTGACAGATGGCATCAGCGACCTGGTTCATTAAAACACGTTTTTTTCCCTTGGATTTAATATAGAAACCTCCAAAACCACCTAGATATACTCAAAAACAACGTCCCAGCTTTCCGATACGGAACAGAAATTCGCTTCAAACTAGTGTTTTCAGGTCAAAACTGAATTTTGTAAGGTTTTCTGGGAAACCTTACGTAGAAAAACCGGATTTTTCCAAAATGGCTAAACTTTGGAATACACATTTTATCATCGTTTGATAGAGCATTGAAAACTGCATACATCTATGTTATTCTGGAAAGGATACCTCTTATCCTGTTGACGAAAAAGTCAAATGACGAAGCCGAATAACAGGTTTTTCACAGTTTCGACCTCAAGTGCCTTTTTTGTCCTGAAAACACTAGTATGAAGCGTATTTCTGTTCCGTATCGGAAAGCTGGGACATTGTTTTTGA